ACCTCCCCCTGCAACAGCTGTGTCCCCCGCGTTCCTCCGGCGGCCGGCCAGAAGAAAATGCCAGAAATTGCGCTTATCGTGTGGGTTCAAAGAGTCCCGAAGCTGGTTCTCATTAGGAGCCAATAGAGGAAGAGGACAGGCACGCAACAAACACGTAAAAGGGCAACTAAAGAGAGATGAGTGACCTTTTAATTCGAAACCTTAACCCTAGTTTAAAACCGTACCTTGAAACGATAAGCCTGGTTTAAAAACCTACGTTGAAACCCTCACCCTAGTTTAAATTTGTAGTTTTATTTGATTAAAGCCTTTTTGTTCGTTACTTTTTCACGAATCTCTTTCCAAAGCAGCAAAGTCAGTGTGTCAGGGGAGTTGTCAGCTGACTTATCTCCAGTAAAAGCCATTATTGCTCACCATCACATGACTATCACCGTTCAGGAAACCGCAAAGAATGGGGAATAATGTCAGGACTTCCCGTCACTCCTTTACACGTCGTCTCCAACGGCACCATCAAGGTGAATGAAACAATGCGGCCCGATGACGCTTTTGTTTCGGCATGCCACTCATTTCAAAGAGTAGACATAGAAAAAGGGGAGGGTGAGTGACATTATTAACAAAAGAGGGAAGAGTCAATAGAGTTAGAAAAAAAAATGGTGACCCTGATGTTTGTTGAGAAACGGTAGCAAATGGCAACACGCATCCTGTCTCAGCCTCATTGACCTTCTGGAAGCGTTGCAAAATGCCAAAAGGACCAGCAGAATGAAAAGAAACATCTTCTAAATTTGACACATGAACAAAGATGATTGTTGTGAACAAGAATTTGAATCATTAAAAAAAAAAAAAAGAGGCTTTGAAATCGTATCCCACCAGGTTGTCACGGGACATTTTTATGCTGCTATGAGAAAAATCGTTTTTTTAAAATAAAATCCACACAGCCCGACAAAGCAAAGAGCTTCTTCAAGGTGGCCGCGCAGCAGTTCCTGGCCCAAGAAATCTTGCACCAAATTACCTTTCGGGCGGAGAGTCTCAAGAGAAACAGTATGAAAATAAGAGGTCAATACTCAAATTCGAACCTTGGACGCCACTTCAGATCGGCTGCCAAACTGCTCAATCTATGCAACCCCGCGTGTGTTGGATTTTTCCTTCTTATTAATCTCAAATGTTCCCCCCTTTGCCAGCGGCAAGGTTAAGACAACACTTAGAGAGCGAGCTGTTTTATTAGCTACAAACTAGTCTTCAGAGATTTGGAGGCAAAAAAAAAAAAAAAGGAACATCTGGGGGTTGTGAAGGGCCGTCCAAAAGCCAACAAACAGGAATTTGATGGATGAAACTCTTAAAAACCAAACCTAAAGGATTCTTCTTGCATCGTACAAGAATCACAACTCACAGGCACACGGAAGCTCCTTCAAATTGAAATCTCATGCGGGATTTCTAAAGGCTATATTGCAAGTCCAGTTTGGAGCAGATGCCTCAATCATCCCATAATAAGAGAAGCGCAGAGTAATTTGTATCGTTAAACATCACAGCACATCCTGGCAAATATCCCAACCCAGGAGAGTGTCTATCAATGTGTGTGTGTGTGCGTAAAATCGACCAATGTATAGAATCTATTTTGACTTTTTTTTTTTTTTTTTTTTTTTTTTTTGTAGTAATATTTGCCGGTGAGCATTGAGCCTCTGTTGGACTTGGTTGACCTCTCATTACTCCCATTTTCCACTCCACCATCTCAAGTGTCCGAAGTGCAAATCAAAAACGCTCCCAAACAAGCCAGGCACAACATAGAAGTCAGCTTCTCACATTATTGCTGCAAATATTTGACCTGATTAAAAAAAAAAAAAAAGAGAGATTCAGTTACAAACCATGGTAAACTGTATGACAGATTAAAAAAAAAATTCCCAGGAAACAGGCAAACAACGAATTTAGAGTTGCACACATTCACTGTAGTATGAAGTTGTAATGTGTTTGTTAAATTCTCTGTGAAATATGTCATATGTAATTGTGTGTGTGCGCACGCAAACATACAACACACACCAGCACAATTTTTTTTCTAACCCTTCTGAATAACTTTATTTTTTTTTTAACTATGCGATTATAATCTGCAACTGGCCACAATGGTCCCCCGGGCAAAGTTGGGACACCCCTGGTCTAATATCAGGACACATCAGCATCAGTGACAGTGCAGTGCACTAAATCAGCTTGAGACAGCCTGCCGCTCTTTCACTAATTGCTCGAACTGTCAGTGGCTCCTCCTGCGCAATAACAATGCTCTCCTTCCCTCTCTTCTACTGTCAATCACGCCTTGTGAGTACAGCACGAGCACATCCAGGATGAATTCTTTGCTCAGGTAGCATGTCACACATCCGTGACCTTCCCTGCAGTCTGCCTGCCTTCAGCTCCAATGTCCGCTTCCTCCTTGCGTCTTTCCCACGCCTTTGTGTGGGGACGGTGAAGGAAATGTCCTCCGAATAACATCGTGGACAACAGTGTGCGGTTTAAGGTGTGAGCAGGAACAGCGTTTCCTTTGTTTGGATGTGCTGTTTATTTGGGAAACGCTGTGTGTCTATCTCGCTGGCCCTAATGGTGGAAGGACATCCACCTTTTTTACACTCCGTGTTATCATTTGTGGCACGTCCCGAGAGACAGTGACATGGAGTTGGCCCCATGGTGAAGAAACACACTGTACGTTATCTGGTGTTTAATCCTCTTGATAACAATAGCTGGAACAAACATTCACTTTGTGTGGAATGTGCTGATTTGAAATGTCTCCCACTATAAATGGGGACGCCATCAATCAATTCCTGCATTCACACAAATAGCCCTACATGAAAAGATTTTACATAGCTGACTGTCACTGGGCATTAAATTAATCAGTACAGTTACAATGGGACAGGGCTACCTCTAGTGGAATGGCAAAGAAGCGAAAAGAATGACACTCGCATATCCGACTTGGACGGCGTGGTATGCGAGTGCAAATGTAATTGTCCCACACAAATCCGAAGATCAAAACCCAGGAATATAAATCACACATAATAAATATGCAACGCTGGAAAAAAAAATTAATACAGTAAGAGACCACTGCAAGATGAAACAAAAAACAAATAAGAGGGCTCTGAGTGCGTCAGAATCATCAAGACTTTAAGATGAAAACCCAGAAATGACGAATGCAAATCACTGAAGAATTGATGGCACGAATGGATCGTTTAGCAGCGGTTTCCTTTTTTTTTTTTCTATCACAGCTGTACATTGTTGGATACGATAGCACTCAAAATCGATTATGCGCTAAATAGTTCCCAAAAGTAGTTGCCTTGTATACGGACAAGCAAACGAACCGCTTTTTAAATATATTTTAGCATCCTTGACAACTAAGAATGGGTGCTAAATAGTACTTTTGAGTGCTAAATGGTACTCATTTTGGGTCCCATTTAGCTTTCAAAAAGAATAGTTGCTAATTGTACCCAAAACCGGATCCCCAAACCATACCTTTATTTTATTTCATATTTAGCGTGTATATGTCAAAAGGTTTTCAGACAGTTGTAAAAAAAAATCTTCTTATGACTTCGGATGAATAATGAACGGCTTCTTACCACTTATGAAGGACGACCAATTCAAGATAATTGCCAACTTGACGCAGGCACACAGCAGCATCATCCTTTTCAAAAGCTTCAACAAAGTCCCCTCCCAGAATGAAAAATAATCGTCCGCGGTAGTAGTTGGCTTTGAAATTCCGTACGTAAGACAAAAGTTCCCTCGACGGAGAAGTTGCAAATGTCAAAAGAAGCCTCAGGTGGATGCGCGTCAGCAAGCCGCGGTTTTCCCCGCTGCCATGACGCGTTCGGCGGGGAACCTCTCCTCCCCTACTCCCGCTTCTCTGGTTCCGTATCCTCCGGGCAGGTGCTCCCTCCCGTTACAAGCAAACAGATGAATTCAAGAGAGGTCTAATTAATTTTTTTTTTTTTTTTTTTGTACGGAGTGTAGGGTGCAAAATAAGAACCAAGATGAACCAGGGACAACCTTTCAGTGCCTGTGTGCACACACTGAGCAGCCCCGCGCGTCAGGCACCTTTTAATGGTGGGGTGGGGGTGGGGGGGGTGACGGAGGAAGCGCGCGACGTCACTTTGGAGGGGGGACATTCCTCTAATGTTTTGCCTCCGAGCTTCACACAAGAGCGAGATTACCGCGGCGGAGGGGGTGAGGGAGGTGATGGAGATGTACGGTCGGCGAGTTCTGTTTTAGCAGCATCTGGTGGGAATAATGTGACTAACTGAATGAGAGCATACAAACTTTGAAGACGGTGTCAAATGTATTCAAAGACTTGCTTCTCGACATTAAATACGTTTGAAGATAATCTCCGAGAACATGTAGGACTGAGAAATGTATTGTGGAGCTATCATTAAACATTTTTTCACTAATTGCAGTATTCCACATTTCTTCCTTGACACGATAAAACGGTGACCGGTAACGCACCATCCCCATGTAAGAACATGAACACTTTCGTTCACATCAGTGGTTAGCTAACAAGCCCTTCCTATGCTACCAAAACATAGCTTCGTTTTGGAAAGCCTGCTGATGGCGTGGGCAGTTTAGAGTGCCTCGTTGTTGGCTATGAGTGTGCCCACGTCATCATCAGAAAAATAATACAATTCTCAAATAAAGTACACATACTGTACCTGAAAAATTGAAATTTGTATTCCTTTACTTCTCACCGCTGTGTGATGGTTTTATGAGACAAATATCACTCTATATTTTTGATGCAATGTATAATTTTTTTTTAAACTTTGTAAAATATACAACGACAATTAATCACAACGTAATGAATCTAAGAAAAATGCCCCCCCTCCCCCCAAAAAAACATTACAAAGTCTTGTAATATGTTTTTTTTTCAATAAGAAAATACAGTTTGTGCCTCGTTTTTTTACTTCAATTCAGTGGACATTGTGATGCTTCTGGTGTGCCCGCCTTGGCCACCTGGAGGCAGTGTAATTTAGACAGAGATCCACACGAAGAACAGTTTTGCAACATATTTCGTAAGATGCACCAATCACTGTGAATTTCCGCAAAGGACAAAAAAAGAATAGGAACATTTCCATATTTATTGCTTCACTGGTTGTGTTCAAATATCCGTTGCTTCAAGGGTTATAACACTGTGATGGCGATAGAATGCATTTGCCCATTTATAACATTTTGCATTGTTTGTTAGCATTATGCTGAATAGATTCTGTTTGGGCAACGCTATGCGGTTGCTTTAAATGCACAACATGTAATTCTCTTTGTTTTATGTTTAGTTTGACAGTAAACTTCACCTTGGAATGACAATAAACTCCTTGAAGCTGCCCCCCCCCCCTTTTTTTTTAAACCATTCACTGGCGCCATACAACACTTGGATCTCAAATATGTGCAAGGAAAGGCAAAGCAAAAAAAAAAAAATCCCTGTAGGTGTGCCAATAACATATATTTATTTATTTTGTATTGTTACACCTTTATGTTGTGCACGTTAACATCCATGTACATGACAAAGTAATAATTACATCGACAAAGGGAAACACAATTCCATAATTTTCATATGATGACTTGAATCGCGCTCTGTTTTGTAACTTTGTTGTTTTAAGTGACCTTTGTGCGATGTTCTCTGATCAAATCAGACCCATGCTTGGGAGGTTAAAGGTGGCAGCTCTTTCAAAGTCTTGCCTTAGCAGGAAATTCAATATCAATCATGTGCCCCACTGTTCTACTGAATTATTTGTGGTTTTATTTTTAACTTAAGAAACAGGACGCGGTGCTTTTTATATCAATGTAAATAATCTCCTTTTGTCCAGCACTGCCCCGCAGAGTGTGGATGTGCGGCAGACAGTTTTCCTTTAATACTTGGCTGCGGATAGGTCTCAGAAGCATGCAGGCACGGTCAATAAGAACATCCTGCCCTCACCTTTCTGCCCAAATTAGGTATCCGTATCCCTGCAGCACAAAAACAGGAGTGTAATAACATATTAAGGACATAATCTGGAATAATTTTTATTTACATACGATAATTAACTCATATCAGATGTATTGAGAGATTCAAGATTCAACACTGGCGGTAAGGACTTCAGTTGGGATATAAAGTGGAGTACACACATATACCAATTTTCAACACCCTAGCCGATCTTGAAAATGGAAGAGAAACAGTCGTAGTTTGGAGAATTTGGCATCAACCATTCATAAGTATTTGCGACAATGAATCTTAAATCTTAAAATGACTCACTCTTAGTAACACCACGTTACACCACACAGTAATCATCTTCTTTTATCTTTTGCTTTTAGAAGCACTCAACAATCAAGCCTTTTTATAACTCTGATTGGAAATAATTTAAAATCAAATCGGATTCAAGACGTTTATAGTGATGTGTATGACAATGAAAACAGACCCTAAAAAACAAGCACAAGAAATGATTGTGGACACTCCCTGTGTGTCTTCACACTCCCAACGCCTCAGAAACAATTGGTGGAAGTTTCTGCCTTAGATGGGAGCCTTTTTAAAGTATCTTATTTTGGATTATTCTGGTGCTCCAAACACGAAAGATGAACAGGTTGAACGCAAGCAGTAGATTCCACAGGACTGATTTTTATGGCTGTTATGATGTTTTTTTTAAAGTGTAAAAAAAGGTAAATGCCGAGATCCCTTATTTTGTTTTCTTTTAATAATATTAACGTTGCATTTATTTATTTTCTACAGGTGTGTACTCAAAAAATAAGCGGTCAATCATTTCATTTTAAAGTGACACCCTTTTATAACCACAAGTAGTTTGTTTGACCGGAAGACCATAGGCCATAGTGTTGCAGTTTATGTATCCTAATGAACTAGTTAATAGATTAAATACTAAAACTTATTTTAAAGACCTTTTATAGCAGTATTTATTTAATATATTGAGTAGGGTGGTCAAAACATAGATTTCAAAGGTGTAGAAAGTGTTTAAACTGATCAAATCTTTTTATTCTTCTTTTTATCTTTCAGGACCTCTGTGGCACACTTGACTCGTGGTTGCTGTCAATCAAGGGTTGAGCTCATTTGTGCTAGTATTTTCCAGGTGGCGCTTCATCGAAATGGAGCGCTTTGTCTCATCTGTAACACGTAAGAAGCTGATGCATCCGACAGCTACACCGTCTTTACGACAATTATAGTTTTTTTTTTATACCATTTTGCCGACGAATTGCCGACTAAAGGGGCCGCAAATGAATTCACGTGCTCGCTAACATGTGGCTAGGCTAACGCAGCTAAAGCTAAACGAGGCAATCGGCATTAAATAAAGTAACACAAACTGTGAATTCACTCTTTTTTAAAAAATATTCTTCAGCCCAAATACACACGGATGCTTGTAGTGGTTTACAAGCAACACAAATAATGACAGTATTCCATTATAATAACTACTGGCAAGGTAATGTCATTTTACCTCAAAGTTTTGCTGAATACGGTTCAAATGGTGGATGGATGAAGACATCATGACCATTTCTTTAGACACTGATGTTTTCCTAATTTCTTATTGTCTTACTTCTTATTGATCTTAATCGTCTTTATAGAACGTTGTTCATTCCACCTCAGATCGTTTGAGCAAACTGATTGACGTCACCCTTATGCATGATTTACTTGAATTTTCCTATGCAATAATGAAAATGCATCATATGTTCCAATAAAATTGCCATAGGAATATGTTTTTTATGACCAATAATTAATGCCTGGTTACTTTATACCCACCCTGCATGATGTAATTTCGATCATGTGTTTAATAAAATACATCACTCTGTCAGTTAGAAGGAATAGAGTGACCTATTTAAGGCTTTAAAAAAGACGAGGAAAGCAAGCTCATCATACCATTAGCTTTTTAGTGGCTGTCTCATGCCACGCCTCAGGCAATATATTATGCCACAGGCAAACTAAGTACCTTGACAAAACACACTCAGACATGTTATGTTAAAAAAAAATGCTCCACTTTTTTAGTCTAAAATCATTCGCGTTGTGAGAATGTTCTCAGGCCTCACGGCGGACCTTGTTAAGCATCCGCAAACAAATTCCAATGAGGTGGTTGACACGCTCTTCTCTGAAGTGTCTGCTCTTGAAGATGATGTGAAAATTGTGGATCCACAGGTAGATTTGATTGCGACAGTTTGCATCTTTCACCCGTACACTTTAATGACCTGACTGAAGTTATGTTCCAATTCTTCTGGGTCTCAGCTTGAACAGTGTGCCATCCAGCTGTGGAACTGGGCTGTTAGTAAGAATGTAGGCGACTCCGTCAGTACAAGTCAGAAAGCCAAAGGTACAAGGGCACACGATAATAATTTGGATATCTGGCTGACTGTGTTCGATCATCCTAATCAAATTTTGCAGCACGACATGCGGCATGCTGTCTGATGTACTGCAGTGAACCGGTTAATCCACCAGAGGGCACCATCCGAAAGCAGATACTCGTAAGCCCCTGTGCCTGCTTTACAAAAAAGTCTCAAGATGCGCAAACTCATTTTGCCATTGTTTATTCCTTATAGATGGCCGGCAGAACTGGAAGGACCTGGCTGGATTGCAAGAATCCAGAGATGGCGGACCATTTCCTCAGGCTGGCTATCAAGGTGACAGAAGCTAATAGTGAACTCCAGAAGTCTTATGGTCCTCATAGTGTCTATAAAAATGTCTGTGATGTGGGAATTGGATCTGAAATGCATGTTGTTGGATTTACCTGGGAGAAAACTCGACCAAGTGTCCTTGCACCAATCAAGCAAAACTTTCCAGTATTTCCTCTGGTAAAAATGACTGTCCAGGTTGATTAAAACTTACATTTTGATGAGCTAAAAGAGCGAAACTTATGTCATCTTTTTTACCTTAGAAGTGGTCTGCTAAGTCCTTATCGAGAGCGTAAACTGTAGTGGACTGACACAGCCAGATCAACAATACTAGAATTATGGAAATCATGAGATTTCAAACAACTGCTACTTTACTACACATGGAGCAGCAGCACATACAACGAAAGGAAATTAAAAATGTTGAACATCTATACTATACACCCATAAGAATCCTAAATGATGGCTTAAAAATATGTTATATAATGGCGACCCAAAACATAAACTGCAATACTGCATTGTACGGGGTCACGATAAACACCAAGGTGGAAACTTACAATCTGCTGTCCTCTAATATTTACCAATTGTTCACCAGAGTGTGGAAACTTTGTTCGGCCTGCTGACAGCCAGAGGCCACGGCACGCCGGACAATGACTCATTGAAAATGGACGTGGAGAAAGACCTTCTCCGGATCCTCTCCTATCAGGCAGAATCGGTGGGCTGCTGTGACACCTTCCACATTTGTTCTTGTGAGATTTGGCAGCCGGAGAGGTGTTGTGATGACAGACTTGCCAGACAGCTAAAATGTCAAGTGAGAAACAATGAGCGGGCGAAACAGGATTGATGGAGATGTGTTTCACTTTTAGTTGAACGCATGACTGTGTTCAGTATTATTCACTCATTTCCTACTCCTTAATAGGAATTGTTACATGGTGGACTATGTAGATCATAAAGTCCACAAAAAAAACCCCAAAACATCATATAGTAACTCGTGACTAGATAGAGAATGAGTGGATGATTCCAAACACAGCAACATCATTCCCAATGCCTTGATCATTACTGTATATGGGGATTTTTATTTTGGTGAAGTCCATAGTGCGTGAATCAGCAAACTACAAAATGCTAAAGTTACTGTATCAGGCACTACAGAATATACTTTGTATTTGCAAAATAATAGGCAATTTGAATACAGTATTTGTTGACCAGGGTAACGGGACTTTTTCGCCCGAACCTCAGCATACAGTGTCGGTACATCAAGGCAGTGAGACGTCACCTACATACGCGATTGTAAGCTGTCCTCTGGGACGCAATGACTGACAAAAGCTTTATTTTTATGTTACTAGTGCACCATTCTCTTCAAATTTAGAATTAAATTAAAAAAAAAAAAACAAATGAGGCGGCTCGTTGGTCCAATGGTTAGCGTGTCGAACTCACAGTGCAGAGGTCGTGGGTTCAATCCGGCCTTCCTGTATGGAGTTTGCATGTTCTCCCCGTGCCTGCATGGGTTTTCTCCGCCTACTGCCCGAAGATAGCTGGGATAGCCCCCCCCCCAGCCCTTGTGATGATAAAGCGGATCAGAAAATGTCGAGATCTGACGTGGTGGTTAATGAATGATTTTGAACACAGCTCCTCTGTCTTCCTTGCAGGCTGTGATTCAAGGGAGACACCAAGAGGCTGTGGCCCATGTGCAACGTTGCAAAGACATGCTGCATCGCCTACCCACTCAAGTACAGTATAATCAACTTGGGGTTACATGGGAGACTTTTTTCCCAGGAACCCCCACAGATACTCTGACACTCAAGTGAAGTAGAAAAAAAATAGGTGCACGTTTGCTCAAGCACTTTCAGCTATTCATCAACCCCCCGCCCCAAAAAAAAAAACGTTTGGAATATGTACAGTAATTTTGGAACAATGGAAACATTTTTTCTTGCATTTTGTCAATGTGTTCAAAATGAATCAATTAAAGTAGAAAAACTTGTACAACACACATTGATTATTTTAATGTTATTTAATTTTTTAAAACAATTATTGAAATTGAAAAAGAAATATGTATTTTAACCAATCAATGTTGGAATGGATGAATAATGGATACATTATTTTAAAAGAATTCTTGCTCCATTTTAATTTTATGGGACAAAAATGAATGCAGTATATGAACATTTTACTTTCATGTTTTTTTTTTTATTCATAATCAGTTGACACAATTGAATATTAGAATGAATGAAAAAAGTGAATACATTTACTCAACACATTTTTGGGGGGGGGAATAACGCTCGAAATATTGCAGGACTATTGAGACGGTAAATGTTCAGTGGGAAGGATGAAAGAAAAGAGGATGTCGGTATTTTTTGTTTTTCTCTCACTGTTGCAGACGAGCTTCTTGTCTCTAATGTGCTACAACTTTGGAATCGACACGTACCACCATCAAAAGTTTGAAGAATGTACCTTCTGGTTACGGTATATTATCGCATTTTAGAAATGAATTTTTACAACTACTGCTGTGGAAAAGGGTTTTTTAAGGATTTATTATTATTTTTTTTTTTTCTTAGGCAGAGCTATGACATCATCAAGATTAATGTGAAATATGCCCCTGAAGCCCAGGTCCAGGTATGATGACAGTTCCTGTATGTGCTTATAACTTACAGTGGAAATCCGTCAGAGCGGATGAATGAATGAATGTTGTTACCCAAAGCACTCCTGTACAGGACTGGGGGTTGGGGGCATCTTGCTTTCTAGTTGGTTCAATCACTAATTTAACATGTTAAAAAAACTAAGCTTTCAAACTATGGTTAGGGTTTCAAACTAGGGTAAAGGATCCAAAGTAGGGTTTCAATTTAGGGTTAGCGTTTCAAAGTACAGTTTCCAACTGGGGTTAGGATTTCAAAGTAGGCTTTCAAAGAAGGGTTGGGGTTTCAGAGTCGGGTTTTAAAGTAGAGTCAGGGTTTCAAAGTAAGGTTTGAAGCGAGGATTTGAAGGTATGGTTTGGGTTTCAACATAGGGTTACCGTATCAAAGTAGGGTTTCAAACTCGTAATAGGGTTTAAAATTAGGGTTACGTTTTCAAAATAGTGTTTCAAACTCAGCTTAGGGTTTCAAAGTAGGATTTTAAACTAGGGTTCTGGTTTCAAAGTAGGCTTTCAAAGTAGGGTTTAGGGTCTCAAAGTAGGGCTTCATATTAGGGTTAGGGTTTCAAAGTATTTTTAAAATTAAGGTTAGGGTTTCAAAGTGGGGTTTGAATATAGGGTTACGGTTTCTAAGTATTGTCACAAACAAGGATTAGGATTTCAAAGTAGGGCATTAACGTAAAGTTATGCTTTCAGAGTAGGGTTTTAAAGTAGAGTTAAGGATTCAAAGTAGTGTTTGAAGCTAGGGTTAGGGTTTCAAGGTAGGGTTTCAAACTAAGTTTGGGGTTTCAAAGTAGGCTTTTAAAGTAGAGTTAGGGTTTCAAAATAGGGGTGTAAAATACGGTTAGGGTTTCAAAGTAGGGTTTCAAGATAGGGTTAGGGTTTTCAACTAGGGTTAGTGTTTCAAAATAGGGTTAGGGTTTCAAATTAGGCTGAAGGTTTCAATGTAGGGTTTCAAATTAGAGTTAGTGTTTCAAACTACGGTTAGGTTTTCAATCTCGTGTTAGGGTTTTAAAGTAGCATTAGGGTTGAAGCATTTCATCGCGGCAACATAACTTGTCCAGGGTGAGAAAAGTTTTAAAGTTATACAAAATTTCTCAAGATTGTTGTCAAGACCCTCATTGGAATTATTTTAACTTGGTTCATTATTCTTACGAGGCTTCCGGCAATGACATGAACACGCTGGAAGGAATGTGTTTTGTTTCGACTACCTTCAGGCCAAAGTTTTGCGTCTTCTGGCCACTGCTTATCTGGAGTGGGACGCTCTGAGGTTTCACGGCGAGGCCCTTATTGCTGTGGACATGGCCAACAAGGTCAGACATGAAAATCAAAAGATAACCTGTGAAAAACAACAACATGTAAGCAGTGTGCCACTTTTGTCAGAAATGTGTGAGCACCTCTGGGCTCTTCTTAAAGATCACGATACTCTTGAGAGGCGGGGCCTCCGATGAAAGCATTGCAGCGGGTTAGTTCATGGACGGGAAGAATCCCGTCTTAACCATTCTACTTTCTCATATATTTCCAAACATTCCCTCCTGAGATGTAAACGTTTGGACCGATACATGTTGGCAGGTCTGGACGAGATGCTGCGAGCTGACGTTTCCCTTGAAATTTGCCTCAGTGCAGTCAAACTCCTCCTGTCCGAAAACAGGTACGCACACCTTGCAGGAAAACAGTCATACATAGCCGCTGCACATGCATGTGCTCCTTTTGGGATTCTTACGTCAAGCCGCTGAAGCATTTATTTAATATGCTTAATATGCAGTTTAAAGTCCTCGTGTACTAATACGCTCTTTGTCCGCACTATCCAGAGCACTAACACAACCACTTTGGCATATTAGTTGAACGACTGCCTTACAAGGAGCATTTTTTTTTTACAAATAGTTCCACTTGTGGCAAAATGCATTCAACCCTTATGAGTTAACTCCTGTGCTGCACTAATAACTCTAAGTTGGTTCAACCCATCGATATGTCATGCATTAGTAGCCTCCCGGGCGGCCCGGTGGTCCAGTGGTTAGCGCGTCGACCTCACAGTGCAGAGGTACAGGGTTCAATTCCAGCTCCGGCCTCCCTGTGTGGAGTTTGCATGTTCTCCCCGGGCCTGCGCGGGTTTTCTGCGGGTACTCCGGTTTCCTCCCACATTTCAAAAATATGCAAGGCAGGCTAATTGAACACTCTTAAGTTGACCCTAGGTGTGAGTGTGAGCACGGATGGTTGTTCGTCTCTGTGTGCCCTGCGATTGGCTGGCAACCGGTTCAGGGTGTCCCCCGCCTACTGCCCAAAGATGGCTGGGATAGGCTCCAGCCCCCCCCCCGCGACCCTTGTGAGGATTAAGCGGTTCAGAAAATGGATGGATGGATGGATGGATAGTAGCCTCCCTATCTAGAGTATCAAATTGATTGACATGAAGTGAGCTAACACTGAGAGCGCAGTAGTATTTAACTGTACATAATCTGGATATCAAGAATCTGAAACGCATACTCATTTTGCTTTCCACGCGTTCTCCCAGAGAAGCGCCGGCATTCGAGCTTTTGAAACGTGCGAGTCAGCAGTTTGAGTCGTCGCCCGCCCTGGGAACCGCCCTCGTCCTGCACATCGAGCTCCTGCTGCACAGAGACAAAGAGCTGCTGGGCAAGCAGAAGATAGAGGATGTCATCAACGGTGCCGCATGCCGTCGGACGCATCTTTGTCACGTGTACAAAAAAATGTCACGAGTGTAACGACTTGCGTCTGCGCAGTGCACTACACGGGAAAGCAGCTGGCACCACAGGACCTCACAAGCCTACATGCCATGTTGTGGGATAAAGCAGCAAAATACGTCGAGGTACCAATGTTCGACATCCAGTCAATTTGTGTGCATTGGTTCATACTAATAGACTAAAATGTACAAAACAAAGGATTAAATGTCCATTCGATGTTCCTCGTAGGCGACCGACTACTCTGAGGCGCTTCAGTGGTACAACTACTCTCTGAGTTTCTTCCAGGCCGGAGACATGGACTCCAACTTGGCCAAACTGCAGAGGAACAGAACTTTCTGCTTCATGCAACTGAAGCAGCTGGAAAAAGTAGCCAGACCCATTTCAGTTCGTTTCAACCAAATAGTTGAGGTATCTGTGTGTTTCTCAGGCCAAAGAAGCCGTTCACGAGGCCGAGCGCTGCGACCCCGACAGCATTTTTACACAATTCAGTCTTTTCAAGATCGCCATGCATGAGAATGATGCGGAGAGAGGTGGCTGCCTTGAAAATCTGCTCGCAGCCATTCGCTGTCATTGGATTGTAATCAGCCCGTCCTGTGGTGTGAATCAGCTGCCAAGGCGGTGAACACGATGGCGCTTCTGTCCAAAAATCTCGAAGCCGCCGGACCCGTGTCTGAGAACGCCACGTCCAGCCTCCTCTGCCGGGCCGCTCAGATCGCCTTGGAGGTACAGTATGCGTGGAACAATATGTTTGCCGTCATTGTGGTTGTACTTTAGCTCGCGGTGGTACTTTTCCTGAAATGTTTGAGACGACTGTTGTCTCCGATTGACAAGTTTGCTTGTGGCTGACAAGGATGTTTTGCTTCATGTGACAGAACAAACAGCAGGACACGGCCACGAAGGTGCTGGAGAATTTGTGTGAAACCTGCAAAGATGAAGCGCTGGTTCTGAAGGCTCTCAGGTTGGTGAAAACAAAAATATGCAGGGGGGTGGGGGAGCAAATGAAATACATTTGAGTGAGCCTGTTTTGTTACAAATGGATCCCTATAATGCTCCGGTGCAGAAGGAACAGGTCAGCCATGATGGTATGCACGTACAAACTCATTTTTGGCCCTTAAACTGCTTTGTCAGCTCATCTCTTTATTTCTTACATTGCATCTGGCTTCAAGACCCAACAACAACAGCGACAATATATCAAACAATCAAGTGAAAACTCGGACTCAGAACCTCTCGACTGTGTGGCAGACAATTTCAGACATTTTGAAGTTTGTTTTGTCTTGCCGACTTACAACTTTTGAATGTTCAAGTATTGGAGTGATTTGATGCTTCTCTTTTTCTACACTTGATCGACATCAGCAATATTCCCTCCCCATTGAAAAATGTGTCAGTCAAAAAATGTTGAAAATAGCGACCACTGTAAAGACTATTCATCTATTTCCAGGTGTCTGGTTCGACTCGTACTCACCACCGTGGAAGCATCTGATGATGAGAAAAGGTACGCACTCAATATCGATTCCAAACACTCCCGTCAACTTCACTTTTGATACTTCTGGACAGGGACGGGAGTCTGGATGCGCTGCTGCCTTATTTAAAAATGGGTACGCGCACGTGTAGAATCTGTCGTGTCTTGAGCCCATCGTAAGCTACAAATATTTTTTTTCTGCCGTCATTGCAGCGCTGCAGAAGCTTTCACAGCGGCTGTGCCTCACAGCGGAGCAGTGCACTGAGGAAGCCAACTGGTTCAGGAAGATCGGTACCAAAGAGTCCTCCTTTGCTTGTCGCTATCAGACGACAAATGCTAACACTTTTGGAATGGCGCGCATTCTCACAGCTTGGAACGCGGCACTGCAGTGTGAGAGCAACCCGGACAGAATGCGGGATTTCTTTGTGCTCTCCTACCAGGTCAGCGCACCTGCAGCACAATGCCTTAACTCACAGCTTCCGTTGATGCGGTCAGAGAGAGCAAATATGTTATTGGGGTTGCCCATGCGTGCATTTTCTGATCCGTTTTATCCTCGCAAGGGTTGCGGGCGTGCTGGTACCGATCCCAGCTGTCTTCGGGCAGTAGGCGGGGGACACCCTGAACCGGTTGCCAGCCAATCGCAGGGCACACACAGACAAACAACCATCCGTGCTCACACTCACACTTAGGGACAATTTGGAGGGTTCAATCAGCCTACCATGTATTTTTTTGGAATGTGGGAGGAAACCGGAGTACCCGGAGAAAACCCACGCAGGCACGGGAAGAACATGCAAACTCCTCATAGGGAGGCCGCACCTGGAATTGAACCCGGAACCTCTGCCCTGTGAGGTTGACACGCTAACCACTGGGCCACCGTCCTGCCTGTGTGCAATCTTATTAATTTAAAAAAAACATACTAATGGCTGTTTCTGTTACTTTTACCGAAAGAGGAAATAATCAAAATATTCTAAACAGCTGTCGGTTAATGTGATGCAGTACAGTCGGATGGCACTTCGAAAACCCACCTCAATCATGCCCATAAATGAACACCTCCCTGGCAGTGACAAATGAAAACAGAGCATCGGGGCTCTTCTATTTCATGTAACAATAACGAACATGCTTTTTGTCCAGCTGTCCCAGATGTGTCGTCCCGATCGCGCCATTCTAATGGCTCAGAAAACGTGTCTGCTCATGGCCGCCGCCGCCGCGCTCGAGTGGTGCAGGGCCGCTCCTCACGCCGACCGGGTTTGTGTGCCCACGGATCTTTCCCATTTGAAACATTGTCATGAATTCATGTCTTCCAGGGAAGCATATTTTCCAGTTTTTCCAGCATGTTCCAGTTTCCGTACAAATCACGACTGTATGACTGGCATAGAAAAGTGGCCGAACATGTTGAACACGACATGCGCCTGTGGCGTTTATGTGTCCTCGTTCGTTCCAGACACAAGATCTCAGTGGGGCTCTGGAGCACATCGCATTATGTACCGAGGTGTGGAAAACCCTGAAGGCAACAGGTAGCACGCGAGTTGTCTTAATCGTAACTGAGAGTCACTACGAAATGAAGAGAGTGAATTTCTCCACGGACAGGAAGCTACCCGAAGGACCCGACAGACACACTGCTGCTGCTCTATGAGTTTGAGGCACGCGCCAAACTCAACGACCCCGAGGTGGCCAGCGTGCTGGACTCCATCCTGGAGCAGGACAACGTGGAGGCCAAAGTGCTGCAGACCATTGCAGGTAAAACGCAGCAAAATGAAATCTCTCAATGTCCGCAGCTCGGAAGCACGTAGCTTGCATCAAAAGTTTTCAATTTTTTCGCTGAAAGAATGCTTTTGCAATGTATGTAGTCCCCATAACGTTGGGCGCGTTCAGCGCATTGGACTCAAGTCATCGCCTTCCACCGGGATCCAACAAATGTGAAAACGATTTCGTCCGCATTGTCTGTTTCATGCAGGAATTGAAATACCAAGTGACAGATGCAAAAAGTTAGAAAATATATATTAAATGTGCTTCTGTAAACTCGCTACTCTCCGTTCACAGCCATGTTGTTAGTGGAAGCAGTGCGTGTCAATGAGGACCTGGGTTACGGTTATTCTGTTTCCACTTTGCTTTTTTAAGTTAGGTTGGTTTGGATTAGTTCTCCTAGTTTGTTAGTTCCTATTACTTTTACTTCTTTACTTTTAAATGCTTCATGTGGAGTAGTTCTCAAGTTAACTATCATAACCATGGCAGAAATGTGCTTCGAAAGAAAAAATCCTGACCCCCAAAAACGGAGTAATCGCGCAGGAAACCTTCCCGTTGTTAAACTGGCCCGATATTGCCTTGCACCTCCAGCTTTAGCCATGGAACCTCCAGCCCACTTCCCTCTGCTATGCAAGAAGGCCCTGAGGGTGGCGCTGTCCGTTCACAAGAAACAAGCTCAGGTGGACCCGACGCAGTGCAGGTAAAGCCACCGCCAGCCACTTTGGAGCACATCAATCCCCCCGCGAACCCAGAATTGACCCCCCCCCCGACTCTTTTGTCTCCTCCTCAGCCAGTGCATCCACAGCCTCATCAAGCTCTCGCTGCCCAGCGGCGCGTCCCAAATGGAGGCCCGCCTGCTGCACGAGGCCTGGGACTACTACGAGGAGGCGCTGGCCGTCATCGCCGCCTCCGTGAGTCGGCGCGCCGCCTCCACCCGCGACATTGATTTTTGTGTCGAGCGGTCCGGTTTTGATCGATTCAATGCCCCGAGAATGAAATGAGAATATACACAGGCATGCGCAATATAGTTTTCACCCTTCCACCTGCATTCAACCTGGTTGAAACTAACTTCAACCTTTTAAAAGACACTTTTGAAAGTATCCCTCTCCTGCTCACTGTGAACACAGTTCAGTACAAAACACACAAGAAGGACTCCACCGGTCACCTGAATGAACTGGAAGGAATTCCTTCATTTTGTTTTACCGAAAACATGAAAATGATCCCATCTTAATTTCATATTCAACTTCTGCAATCCCGTCGCGTGCTTTCGTGAGTGTAAACAAAAATGCAAAAAGAGATTTTAGGTCAAAGTGATATTGTTGCGCAATGTGTACATTTGCACATACCTGTTTTATATTTCACTCAACTCTTTGATAAAGGAGAAGCTACTCACCAGTTACTCGATTCTTGAGTATTTTTCTTCACTTTATTTACTTGAGTCATTGTGTGGAGTCCCACTTTTTACTTTTATTTGAGTCATGAGTGAAGTAAAAGTATATGTGGCCACCTCAGCACAATTACAATGCAATTTTATTTTCTTACAAACTGCTATTTTTTGGGGGGGAGGGGCATGACATCCCGAGTGAGGATAGATTGATGTGGTTTCCCCATTTCGCCGTTATAATCAACCATGACTCCCAAACCAGTTTGACACCGCACAATTAGCAGATGCTTCCATTCACCGCCCCTCTTCCTGCCAATTGCAAAGTCTGAAAGAGGCAGCAAATTATCAGCGGGATTGCACATCCTTCCCCCCCCCACACACACACTTTTCATTCGGCGAGCCGCCACTCAAAGCAAAGCCGGAGGAATTCTGACAAGGAGGCTTCTCGTCTTTTGAAAGGAGTTGCCACTCGCTTTCATGAAGGTCCACATCTTCCCCCATCTGGCTCTTTTTCCGGATCTTTCCTGTAGCCGGACGCTCTTCCGGAGACGCAGATCCTGTGGCTGCTGACCCGCGCCTGGAACACGGGCATCCTGCTGTACAGCCTGGCGCGCTACTTGGAGGCGGAGAAGTGGTGCGGCCTGGGCATGAGCTTCGTGCGCCACCTGGGACCCCTGCAAGACAGCTACAAGACGCAGGTAGGGGAGAGAACGCACAAGGTTGAGATTTGAATACAAATAGCGCCGCTTTTTTTTTTTAACCCTCATATTATTATTATCGCTATGAAATATGGCAGCAAACTGATTACATGCTTTGCACATTTACATGTCTTCATGCACTTTGTATTTATCTTATTCCCACTTACAGCCAGTATGGGACGTGGGCATGATTGTCATCTTTTTTATTTTTTTCGAAACACCACCACAATTGATTTGAAATGAAACAAGATGTGCTTTAAAATGCAGACTTTTCACTCTCGTTCGAGGGTCGCCCACATATGGTTGCTTGCCTTATATTTCTTGATGCCGTGAAGGCCGACAAAAGCAACATGATAAATTCCAAAGTGCTTCCGGGCAATCAGATGATCCGATCGTCTTCGGCCTACTGCTTTCGAACCTGCCGAACGAACAGACGGCGTTTCACAGTGCAGATGGACAATAAACCGAAGCAAAGAGCGAAAGCAAAGCCAAGAAGTGAAATGTTATGCAGCGGTCAAGCGAGTCACCTGACCTGAATCCCATTGAGCATGCATTTCACTTACTAAATGTCGCAATATTTTATTTTCCACCCCCCCCGCCCCCAAAAAAATATATAAGCGCATCTCTCTTCCACAATGTGCCTCCTCTACTCGAGTTGGCTCAAGAGACATTCAAAGACCGCCTCCGAAAAATATAAATTAGTGATACCATCAACGGCATGAGGAAAATCAGTGAAACGCAACAAAAACAGAAAATCCAGCAAAGAATTCCCCAAATAAATTTCATGGGCGCATTTGTGAAACCACAGCAAAGGAATTATTCCTTTCACATCGACATGAACACAATACTGAACCTGTCCAGTTTCCTACTTCAAGACCCCCCCCCCCCCAAAAAAAAAAAAACCTCGAGGCAAAATGCACCAAAATAAGCAGGAACAGAGCACACTTGCAAGATTGACTGCTGCAAAGCAAAAAAGTATGACAAAAAACGAAAGTGTGATTTTATGATAAAAGACGGAAGCACGTCTCCAAACTGTTGTCGTTGATCCGACTTCGATGCAAATGGCAGCTGAAAGTCTGCGAGTAAAGCACATCTTGTTCGTTTCATCTCCAATCCAGCGTGGAAGATGAGAACTGTGGCCGCGTCCCAATATTTTCGGACCTGACTGTACCGCACGCATCCACAGATGACTCAGCTCTACAGCAAAATCCTGGACCGTCTTGATAGCGCAAAGAACAACACCTCAATCCTGGAAGGATAAGCAAACTGGGGCAGCACGTGGCTTTTCAAACCTGTGACGTATTAGAATTTGCTTCACTTTTGTTTTCCCTCCCAGTGACGTTTACGTTCACCGTTACACTAAAAGCTGCACATGATTTGTTGTGCAACACATATTCCGATTGTTCTATGCCAAGAAATGGTTGTGCTCAAGGGGCATGTTTGAATTCTGGAATGAAGTTTGAAAAAAAAAATGGGTTACATGTGCAATATGCAGAATTTCCAAGTTATTCTTTAATGAATCAGAATTAACTGCTTTTGATTGGATCTTTGGTACACCAAAACTGTCATGGGTCAATGCGACCTGCTGTGTTTGAATATTTATTTTTCAAGAATTGCTTTTGTGAGAATTGGAAGATTGCAGAAATCTGTAAGCATTTTGTTGTTGTATATTAATTGCACATTAAAAAAAGGGGCATAGAAAGTTGACATTTCTGCTTACTCCGTTGTGTCACCTCTGGGTCCAACTAAAAAAATTAAAAAATGTCTCTAATAAAAAGAAACATCTATCTTTATTTGATGATATTTTTCTGGTTTTATATTTTAACAGAGGGTTAGTTTGACCTACAAGAAAGCTGGGAATGTGCGCGAGTTTTGAAATAATCTTTTGCAACATCGGGCTTCGCTAACCACACACTGTAGTGTTTGAATCTCTGCTAAATTATAAAATGGGGCACGAGCAACTCATGTCGGTAAACCACCACCAAAAACTTATCACGCATAATCGCCACAATTCAGTAGTTCATAGTTCTCAGTTTCATTCATTCACTGTCACTCATATCGAATCTATTTAGAAACTAGAAACAAAACTAGGAATTCAATTTTGAGAGACTGTAAAAGTGTTTTTGGTGGGGAGATTTTTTTGGAGAAAAAATGCAATAGTGATTTCATATTTTCTCCCAAAATAAAATAACAAACCATATTAATTTAGCAGAAAACAAGAAGAAGACAATTTGCTGTGTTGGGCCAAAAAAAAAAAAAATCTGATTTGAGTTTGACCATCGTGTAATAAGAAGCGTGCAAAAATCGTAACTTAGTCACATATTTTATTTCCAAACAAATAAACTCTTGTCAAGTCCTCCCAAATAATAAAAGCCCAAAGGAAAAAAAAACTTGTTTTATAATCGTATATATAGCAGGACGGCATTCACCTGGTGAACTAGGACAAGGAAGCCCGATTGGGCCCCGAGTGTCCCGACAGGCTGTAAACCATCTGTGGCCACAAGGAGACAACTGGACTGTACAATCAAAAGGGTTCATGTTTGCAAGCACTTACTGCACACATGTGCCATAAACAGAACACCCCCCCCAGCCAAAAAAGACCCCCGCCGCCCCCACAAAAAGTAAAGAAAATGATGTCATCTTTCGTCAGCCTCATCAATGATGCACACACACGCACAGGTGGCCATCTTTTTTTTTTTATAACATCACAGCCTCAAAATGGAAAGAGCAAAGAGTGAAGTCTTTGGGCTTGGACATGGCTGACTGAGGTTGGCGATACCGCGAGCGCTTTTTCATTAACAGTCAGCTTGGATTTCCACTCCATCCTTCATGAATGACGCTGCAAAAAGTTTGGGCGATCGGGCTTTGGCGTTAAATGGCAGCATGAACCTAAAATGCGCTTTAAATGCCTTTTCGTGACACCTCCAGTCTGTTGTAAACGACTGATGACACCCAGCTCAGTGACCGCTTTCGTTTTAGAAGATCTTGCTTAGCTATGAGATCAATACATCTATCTGAAATAAATCTGATATTGTTTCTTGTAACGCAGATAATTTATTGCTTGTTAAAAAAAGAGGACGAGGGCCTTAGATAAAAATTATCGCCTATTATAATTAAAACGATAGTGAATAAAAATATCTTATTTTTCAAAATCGTTCAGCGCTAGCAAATAATTTTATCAAGTGAAATGTTCTTTCAACAAATTACTTCTGCGCTGTTTGATTGGAATCCAAAGAAATCAGACCTTTCCGAAAAAAAAGCTCTGCAGCACACTTGAATTGGGTGCGCCTTAAATACAGTATTTTCTGTGCGCATTTGAATTTACACGTATGAATGTTTTTTAAAAAAAAGTGAAGTAAATAAATGTGTAAAAAAATAAACGTAATTAGTGGGGCATACTTTAAAATGTAATCCCAGGAGATTAATTTGTAACTTTGTCGAATTCATTTTAGATATGTTCCCCTAAAGCCCGATATCTCAAACTTTTTGTGAGCATATCTACTGTATATAGATGCCTTTGTTGGATACACGCAGACACTTTGGCAAGAGGGCCTCCCCTCCTTTGACGGAGCGCCGATGTGTTCCGTAGGCATGTGAAGACTAAGAGCAACAATACAGCACTTTTTTGTTGTTGTTGTTCTGTTTGGAAATTATAGCTTCAAACTTGACTTACCTGACATTTGTAGTCTTTAAAACATATTCTGTCCCATTTTCAATCACACATGCATGAAGCATAGGTGAGGGAGGGGTGGGGGTTATATGCTGGAGGGATGTGAGTGGGGTGGGGGTGGGGGCTTATTTACATTGTACAGCTAGCACACCCTTTGAAACAGTCTGCAAACAGTTTATAAATGGCTGTGTTCCATTCAGTTATTCCCTGAACTCGGCGGAGGGGGATTTAGACACAGGTGATGACAGCTGCTTGTCTGGCAAAGGAGAGTAAGAGGACAAATGGAGGGAATGTGGAGGGGGAGGTCGGTGGGGGACCCAGAGAGGTCCAAGTTGGCACTTCCTGTTAGGGGGTTTGGCTCTCTGAGGAAGAAGGAGGAGGAAAAAGAAGAGAAGATCCCCTTTCACAGTTGAGCTTCACGATAAGAAGCTTGTTTGCTTGCGCGCGGGCGCCATTGTCGTGCTGCGTTTCGGGCGGCCTCGCAGTCGTCGTATGTTTGAGATTCCTGAGCTCAGCCCAAACCCAAAGATCTCTTTTTTTTTTTTTTTAAACCCCTCGCCCATCCAGTCCAGTCGTCCATGCATATCATGAATAATTCATATCGATAACACAAAGCTTTTAATTAGGCTCAACTTTAGTGTTGTTGTATTTTCTTGGACAATCCAAAGCAGCTTTTTTTTTTTTTAAATGGGCATGACATCCAGTACAATTAATGTCTTGTTCTACCCGTCATAAGGCTGCCACCATGGCAGCAGATAGGACAGTACCGTGTGACCAGTAAACCAGAAAACAACCCCCAAAAATCTCTTTGGAAGGCAGAGCGTGTAAGAGGGTGGTCTGCAGCTCCACACTCTTTAGTTTGTTGGTGGGTTTGGGGAGTGGCGGGTCTGGGAAATCCTAATTGGGTGGATCAATTGTTGTCGTAGTGGTGGTTGCGGTGTGGGGGTGCTATTGCACTCGGAGGAGGACAACAGGTAGTCAATTGGTATTGGATGTAAGGCAGTTTGGTGTTTTGCAGAGCCCACTTACACGTCTCCACCCCCCCCCCACCTTGACCCAAGATCAGCGCAAAAAAAAAAAGAAAGAAAAAGAAAAAAGCACAAGCCAAAGAAAAAGAATCACAAGCCCTCCAAATAGACCATTCGAGTGAAGTGTAAAACTGTTTTTCTCTCACGCGCGCTCTCGCTCTCAATATATATATATATATATGTATTTATATATATTTATATGTATAGTAAAATCTGTAGGATTTTATTCATCTTGTGATGTCACAATAGAAATCTAGGGATTCTTCCTGTGGAGATGATAAATAATTCCCTAGAAACAACAGTACCGTCAGTAGGGCTCCGTTCATCCAGTCACTTTGGGGGGAAGAGGACAAAAACAAAACAAAACAAAAAAAATAAACAACCCAAAACGTCTCATCTTCACGTTTTGTCTTTTTCAATGAGATTGGATGAACATTTACAAAGTGTTCCGAGTCGGTGTGATTTGTCTCTGTTCCCCCCTGCATCTCCTTTCTCATTTTCTGTCTCTCTCAACGTGTTCCTCACGAAAACATTTCCACCTTGCATCCGTTGACCAAAAGGAACGATTCCCTTGACCCCCCACCCACTTTTTTTGTTTTTTCGCATGACCCCTCCCCAAGAAAAGACGGGTCTCCGTTCCAGTGTGTAATGGATGGCGTTGAGAAATTCATGCAGGGGGTGCACAGTCACAGTAATCAATGGTGATAAGACTTTGTTTTTGTTTTCCATTTAGAGAGTAACAGAATGATGACACTAAAACTTTATATGAAACATTGTTGTAAAAAGAGGTGCGGGGGAGGGGCGGTGGTGGTGGTGGGGGCATTTAGGCATGGCGGGTGCTTTGGGAGAGGGGGACTCTGCGGCGATGCAAGATGGTGGTGGTGGCGCGATGGTGGGTGGCGAGCTCAGAGCTTCTCCGGGGAAGGGATCCAGATGTACGGGCCGGACTGCTCCTCGATGATCAACTTGATTTTGTTGTAGATTTCCTCTAGCGAGTCGCCCTGGACGATAGCTACCCATGCGCGCACAAACACGCGCCGCACAGTTATGGTTGGTCCAATGGAAGTCAAAGAGCGAGAGCGGACGGACCCTTACCTGTGAAAAACTCTCCAAAGTCTTGCTCCAGCTTGACGGCCTTGTCGAAGACTTTGTTGGCCTGCTCGTACGTCTGCCGTTTGTTCATTTCCCTGCGGGGGGTGCGCGGGGACGTTATAGCAAAGTTAGGTGGGATGTTGGGCGTCGGCCGGCCCTGTTGCGTCGACTCGGAGCGGACCACTTACATAAGGGCTTCGATGGATTTTGGTTTAATAAAGATGGCGATCGGGTAAAGTTGTGCTTGCTGCAGTCGTTTGATGGCATTGCCCGACACGTCCAGGATGCAGTGCTTCCCCTGTGGAAGATGACACACACACACACACACACACACACACAGTATTACCGGTGACGACAAAGAGGAGCGTACTCGCACAAATACGTTTGCGGCGGTGCCCGTTTTACGTACCCGTTCAGCCACAGTTCTGACAGACAGGATGCTGGTCCCGTAAAGGTTCTCGTTGAACTGTCCCGCCTCGATGAACTTATTGTCTTGGATGTCTTTCTCCATTTGCTCGCGCGAGCCCACAAAGTGGTAGTCCTGACCGTCCATCTCGTTCTCTCGCCTCGGACGAGTCGTGTCTGGCGGGGAGAAAGTCAGCCGGGCTTCGTTTGGAACTTTTGTGCGGGTTCATCGTGCGTGTGTGCTGTCAACTCACGGGGTACGCAGGAGCCAAACTTGTGAGGGAACTCGGAGATGAGGTCGTCATTGACGCGGTCCTTCATGGGGCCCAGGATGATCACGGGTCTTGTGTAGTGGACTGAGGTTGACGCAAAAGCAACACAAACGTCAACGGCTCATTGACAGAAGCTTCAAAGTTGTCCGGCCCCAAGACAATTACATCTTGCGTATTGAAGCAGAACCAGAATCATCTTTATTAGCCAAGCAAGCAGTTTGAAGCACCCACCACACAACTTTTGTCTTCGAAAGGTCTGCTAGCTTAATGCTAACAGATAAGGTGAACTGTTCATGGGCTAACAAAACTAACATTGGTGATGTAATTTTCAACCTTGAAGCGAGCTGGATCCTCTCCGAAAAACAACATATTAGGGTCGCTTAGTTGGGATCGTCTTCCGTGTCTCATTGTTACATCGCAAGTATATCGGAATGTATTATACAATCCCATCCAAAGCACTCAACCTATCTAGATACGATAAAAAGAAATCAACTATCTGACCCTTTGAGTGGTACAGAATAAGAATGGATTTTTTGATGGAACACATTTATGGAAAAATAATAATAATGATCATGATAAATAGAGCCTACTGACATGCTGCAATGAAGCAGAGGTGGGGGTTGATGATGATGATGTTGATTTGAATTGTACTCATTGTTCGCCCCGAGTAACGTAATTGATGCAATCAACAAAAAAGAGACCGTTTTAACAACACTCCAAGAAAAAAATACTCACTTTCTTGTCGGATGACTGGCTCATAGGAGAGTATTGTGTCTTCCTGTCCCTCTGCGATAAAATGAAAAACACAAATCGAGTCATCAGATGGCCGCTAACACCCCGCTGGCGCGCCAACATGTTTCGATTCCTCGTGGCGCGAATGGTGCACTCTGTTGTTTCGCTACTCTCTGTCCTTTTCGTTGCAAAAACGCCGACTCAAACGTGCAGGCTCCATTTTGTGGCAGGCTCCGAGCCCACCCGCAACATTTTGCAAAACCAAGCGGAGAGGAGACGAAACAGGGCGCAAGGCGACTCACTTGAACTGCTCTCGCTGTCGCTCGTGTTGGACGTCAGGCATTCTGAAAAGGGAGGAGAGCAAAGGTTGCAGATTAGCCGATGTGGGGGGGAGGGGCGATTTCAGCGTCCATTGTCACGTCAGATCAATTTCAAGGCACGTGGTTGATGGTCGTAATCTTAGTCCAGTGTTTCCCAACCTTTGACCCGGGGCATATTTGATTTAAGGGTGCGGGGGGTGGTGACCTAAATGAAAATGTCACAATAAGTACATGCTTATCAAAATAATGATCGTCTCGTTTTAATTATCGGACTTCCTCAGGGTGACATGCGGGACTACTTGGCAGAGCGCACAACTATTACCATTCTAACAGGTCCCGATGAATCGGAAACAGCTGATAAAAAGCAAACTAAGTCGCTCACCAATTGATATTTATGGCAGTTTTTATGGGGGGCTCCATACAGTGGATATAAAAAGTCTACCCCCGACCCCTTTCAATGCTTGATTTGGTCATTTAAGAAGAAAAGCCCAAGGAAAAAAAAAAAAAAATTAAAATGCATCCCCTGTTAAAGTGACCTATAACTTGTCTAACTAAATCACAGGTGTCAAACTCAAGGCCAGGGGGCCAGATCTGGCCCGCCACATCATTTTATGTGACCCGCGAAAGCAAATCAAAGATGTCAACTTTCACGATGCTTGCTAAAATCTCGACCAAAATTTCAAATTCTCATTTGTCATAAATAAGAGTGATACTTTAAGAATTTTCTTGTGACCAAAGCCCTCAGGACAGTAACTTAAACAATAGATGGATAAACTGTTATTCTTGATTTCTTTATATGGTTTCAGTCATAACGGCCTTCCAGGGGATGCTGTAACTAAAATCTGGCCCGTGACAAAAATGAGTTTGACACTCTTGAACTTAAATGATGAGATGTGGTTGCACAAGTCTGCACATCCTTTTGCGATGAGGACGTGGCGGTTTTCAAATGTAAGCAATCACATTCAAACTCACGTGAATGGGGAGTCAGTAAACACCCGCCATCACTTAATGTGCCGCTGATTAACCTTTCGTAAAGTTCCGATGTTCTAGGAGGCTTTCCCTAATGTTGTCATGTTGCAGATGAGTTTGTAATAACAGTGTTTTGGCATCATCGTTTTGAATATTATCGGGTCGCGGGGGCAGCAGCTTTAGCAGGGAAGCCCACTCTTCCCTCTCCCCAGCCACTTCTTCCAGCTCTTCCCGGGGAATCCCACAGCGTTCCCAGGCCAGCTGGGAGACATAGTCTCTCCAGCGTGTCCGTACTGGGTCGTCCCCGGGGCCTCCTGCGGGTAGGACATGCCTGGAACACCTCCCCAGGGAGGCGTCCAGGAGGCTTCCTAATCAAATGCCCGAGCCACCTCATCTGGCTCCTCCATCAGTACGATTTAAATACTGTGGGCGTCAGGTACACAAGTCATTCATTGCAGGATTTTCCCCTTTCACCGACATAGAAGACGAACAACGATCCATTACTTGTCGTAAATAAATACTTTTTCAGTCCAATTCAGTGAAATCTTATGATTTCTCCACAGCCCGGTGGTTGGGAATCACTCTTCTAAGCTAACCAGAAAAGGAAGAAAAAAAAAAGTGGTCAGACAGAAAGCAGAAGTCGTGCTGCGCGTGGCAGCCATCCAAGTGTCAATAACGGGGAAGCGGTTTTCAGTGTGGGCAATCGGAAATCAAGCGTTTCCTGCCAAATGAGATGCAATCATACCCCAAACACCGTCGCCTCGTGCTACACGTCATCACGTCGGGGGCGGTCCAAAGAAAACAGGGAGTGTGGTACTCCACTGACTGCTGGAGAGAGACAGCAGCCGGCACTTTGTTATGCCCGCGTTGCCGTAGCAACAGCCTGCTCCAATAACAGGGATACCAGTGAGCGCGTCACCTTTTTTGACACAACTCCCGTTGTCGTTAACCGACAGCCATTGTCACTCACAAGTGCAAACTGTTTATTCAGTGGACTTACCAAGGCTCTCTGGAAAAAAGTATTGGGACACGCTGATGATTGTTTGTATTTAAGGTCCAGAAAGACTTTGTCAGGGTGCACATATTCAAATGCTAAATTTGAGGATCCCCTCTTTGCAACCAAAGGCCTGATGAGCAGAGATCTCTAACAGGTAATCGCTAGTGATTATCTTCTTGGACAGGGTGTGTTCAAGTGATTGTTATCTGCAAAGAAAACGGGGCAAGCCGACAAACGGAACTGTCCTCTGAAACACCATAAACAGAAGACCGGCACCCGAGTTCGCTGACCACCAACCAGTTAGAATTACTGTCGACGTTATGCTAACATTTCCGTTTGGCTATCAAATGCCAGCGACATGCAGAACAATCAAAAGCTCTTCCACTAGATGGCAGAAGAAACAATGAACCCGCATCCAGCCGTCACCATTCACACAAGTGAGAAAAAAAAAAAGTTCTGTGTCCAACTAGACAGGTCAGCATTTCACACTGCGTTAGTACATTTGGAAGTGAAGTGAGACTCGCTTATCTTTGTTTCAATAAAGGTTGGAAAAGACTCAAGTCCGTCAACTACAAATCCTCCCACTTGGAGGCTCTGCTGGCACTTTGGTGTCCCAATACCTTTGCCCGTTTAACCTGAATCCATATCAAGAGTGCATGTACAGTGAGAATTTGGTTTGCCACCATGACACAGCCCCCCACCCCACCCCCCCCTTGCTCGACCGGTGCTCAGGGGACAACCACAACACTTACTCAAACTCTTTGATCCATAAAAGTCATCGCTTAACCCCGGGAAGTCCTAGATGTCCCGACAGGTGAGAGCAGAGAACAAAGACAAGAGAAGACAGCAGACAGGAAGAAGAAGAGGTTAGTGATAGTCGGGGCAGAGAGGAGGAGGAGGAGTGCTCTGTGTGCATGTGCGGTAATGAGGCGGGAGGAAAAAAAAAAATCACTTTGAAATCCATGTGTACATCAGTGCTTTGTGACATTCTTGCCCTGGTTCAAGTCGTGCAGCGGCCCAGTTGTTAGGAAGTGTGTTTGTGCGGCCGACAACAACACACACAAGCATGCATGCATGCGACGCGCACACATACGCACAGCCACCTACTCCTCTTGGAGGGCACCGGAGAGGCGGTCACATGTGGCAGAGGTGCAAGGTAAGTTAATCGGAGTCACTCTCAAGTCTTAAACTTCACATTCCACGTTACTGTGGCAAAAATCAAGCACGTCTGGTCAACACTGAATTTTAAGCTAGTGGAGTCAAGTCATACAATCTTGCTCGGTCGGTCACAACAAAAATTTCCTACGCTAGCCACTTTGCACTCAGTCGTGTACGATACAACACTCCATTGTGTATATTGTTATTGTGACGTGCGTGTTTTTGGCTTAGCCCTGTTGCTAGGCTAACGTAGCATACGAGACTGAAGACGTTGCTTTTTTATCTATCATCCTTGCGTCTCACTTTCCTGGCATACTGAACCTAAATGACTATCATTCCCACTTTTACTCTAAATTAACATCTGGATTAATCTCAGGTTGATCGGTCAGGCCTGGAAAACTGGGCACAGAGAGGACGTGCTCAAGAGGCGACTCATATATATAATAAAACCACTTTTTTGCACCCGAGACCAGATGCGTAGAAAATCACGAGCCTTTCAAATATATACAGGCAAGATTTGTTCAGTCATGTCGGTCAAGTCAAAGTCAAGTCGGCTCTTTCCCAAGTTTTAGCCAAGCAAGTAGCAAGTCCAAAAATTGTGCCCCTCTGCCTACACGTAGCGCGCGGCCCACCACTGCCGCATGAGAGCAACGCGTCCGTGGAGGTGAGCGAAAGGAAGGAAGGAAGGATAACGGATGGACAGACAGAACTTAAAGTGTGAAAAGAGGAAAAGATAGGATGAAAGCGATGAGACCCTCCCCCCTTTCCCTCCCTCCCCGTTTGTGTGACGCAGCTGGTACTCACGTTCAGACTCCACCAACTCCTGCACAATATTCTCCTTGCTCTTGTAAAACGGGAACTTTCGCGACAGGTTGAAGCTTTTTTTGCGCTTTACTTTGACCGGCTGCTTTGTCCACGAGGGAGGCGTGGAGGGAGGAAGGGAGGCAGGGAGGGGGAGATGAGAGGGCAAATGCACACACACATACACACAGATAAAAAAAAAAACAAAACAGAATGGATTTCAATGACTGTACTCAACACGCATGCAAAACAATAAAATGGAATGTACGGCAAACATCAAATCATAATGAAATGAGAAGCAGGTCATGGATGAATATGAACACAAATGGCTAGCTTCTGTTTCGAAAACACTGTTTGTCGTTACAATACACACGATCTAACACGCTTCCTCATATAATGGCCGGCCGGCCGGCGGCGTAGTCGAAAGCCGTTTGAACATGTACAGTTTTTGCTATCCTTGATATCCAGCTTTAAGGTCAACTTGTACGTTCTGTGGGTTTTAGATTTCTTTTGTCCAAGCAAATGTTCGTTTCCGCCCCAGTAAAGAAAAACTAAAGAAATGTCTGAACATAAGAAATGTAAAACGTGTACACTCTTTACCCTCACTCGTAGGACAATTCATTGAACTAGTAGAACGACTGTTTTGAATGACTGTTAACCAGTAGTTTTGTGACGACCGCCACTTGTCGGGGACTGTTCAACTCAACTATTGATAAAGATCCAACAAAATGAGTTCAGAATTGAACCTTGCTAACAAACTGCTGTGTAACACTAGTAACTAGTACTCGTACAAGTTTTGCCCTGTAATTTACTAGCAAGATCTGCATACCAGTAGGACAAAAATTCACTCATAGGAGAAGAAAATGTTACCAACGGGACAAAACCCTTCTACTAGTCCTGTCTAGTCATTTGACTAGTGTGGAGAATTTCCTGAACGAGTAAGGACAAAGAGCGTTCAAGTCCATGGACCTGAACCCTTTCATGCACCTCGTAACCTGAAAAGCCGTCCATTGTGGTCGCCGCTGTCCCTGAAAGGGTTAAGATGGACATTGGGGATTTGGAATCGTTGCTCACTTGGCTTGCTAATGTATTGATACATTTTGGGGGGAAAATATTTACCAATGATACTGATGTATTACAATTCAGGTCAAGTAGCATTTATCGTTTAAGATGGATTGATAAGATTCTCTCTCTTTTTTTTTTTTTTTTTTTTAAAGAGCTGCAGCAGTAATGCTATTCGACACAACCATGAGCATCGATGGGCTCGCAGAGCTTTCTGCGTCTGTGGTGCAGCTTTTCGTATTATTTTGTCGCTTTATTTACGCCCCATCGGTTCTGCGAACACTCGTTACGCCCAGCAACACCTTAAAGAGATTAGCGACCGGCACCCGATATCGACAGGGAGACCGGCGTGACGAGTCTGTCTCTTTCCAAGGTCAATGTATCGAGGGAGCTTACGGCGCGCTCGAAGTCCTGATACGTTTATTAAAAACACGTCAGTCTACGGGCATGATGTAATATTTATTCATTTGAGCTTTCATTTGGGTGAGCACTGATTAGATCAGTTGGAAAACAACCTTTGCAGAGCCAAGATGCTAATTTTCCATGACAAAATTCAAACTGTTAATCGGTAAACAAAAATATTTTTTTAAAAAGTATAACTACTGTACTGAAATAATAATTTTGTCTCCCCTCTGTTTAGTTGCAAATATACTGTAATGCCCTTCAAAATGATGTCATTGCATTATTTTTGCTCAAACATAATCACTATATCAGTGGCATTAAAAAAAAAAAACCTGGCGCCCACTTGCCTTGAGGCCATTATTTGAGGAAGCGCGGTACATACATACTCACCGAGTGCAAAATGTTTTTGGTGTAGCGTGTGACTGGCGTGTGTCGTGTGGTTGTATTGTGGCAACATGACGGCTCCTCGTGTGGGCTTTCCTAGCGTTCCCACGCGGCTCCTCCGCTCCACTTACCCTGTTGGACTCAATCATGCCTGTCCGGGCGTGGAACTTGACTGTTTTTAACCTGGCCCGCTCCTTCTTCTCCACTCTGGACAGAATAGGTTGAAGAAAGTCTTGCTGTCAAGCAGCATTGAGAGCACAAAGCTGTGACCAAGTCTTCTTTTACCACTCAAAGAAAATTGACAGAATCAAAAGATTTGCTGTCTAAACAAGACACAGGAAAGCTGATTCACACGTTCCTGTTCAGATTAGACTAGTGTGTGTTGGTTGTGTGTGTGTGTGTGCTTTTTTTTCTCTCCCCTTTTTCTTTTTTGCACTCACCAGGCCAGGCCCCGCCTTTTTGAAGTAGACACTCCAGGTCACAGACGCTAGAGTAGAAAGTGAGGCTTGCACCCGCAAGTGTACAAATAGCTACAGCTCACGCGGACATTGTGTTTACTGATACAAAATAAATGTAGATCCGATTACTCGATTAATCAACGGGATAATCAGTAGAAGATTTCTTCTGTAGGATCGCCACTCAACAGATGCTTTGCTTTTTACAACAGAAGCTCAAAGGTACCTTTTCTTGCTGGGAATGACCCCGATCTGCTCGCTCTCCCCGTGAGGTGTCACCAGCCTGGCCTGCCACCACTCGTCATCGGAAGCGTTGATCACGTGGAGGATGTCGCCGTAAGAGAAGCTCAGCCCTTGGCTGGGCAGGCAGCTGTCCCTCGTCCGGTCGTAGTCGAATAAAGCTCTGCAAAGAGAAAGACAAAAAAGAAGGCTTCAGTTTTTGGTGTTTTGGTCCTAAATTGGCAGATGGGGTATGCACAGCATTAATGTGGGCTATAATCTGGTTCAGATGTTGTCTGACTGAGATTTTTTTTTTTACCACAACCGCTTGTTTGTTGGTTGTGGTGGATGCTCAAATCACAAGTCCTATGAAGTCAGCAATAGGGATTTGTAACAAGCCCAAGTACTATACTGGCCCAGATGCCGAATTTTTAAAAACTGAAATATCAATTAGCTCCACCCTGAACGGTTTTTCTAACGGTCTTGGAGAAATTACTCAAATTAATTTTCCGATTACTTTAGGCTGCATGAGGGTTATAATGTTAGGGCGAAACACAATCAAGTGAAGCAAACATAGAAAATGTGCATTTCACCTCACAGACGGGCTTTTATGTTACAGCATACAAGTTTTTGTTTCGAAATAATTGTTTGTATGATGTTCCACAGGGTAACAGTGATTTGTTCCAATTACTTATTTTTCTGTAACCTGCTTTCTTTCTTTTAAAATTAATTTCATTGTAGTTGCAAGCTATGTATGTTTGTGCGCCCGCGCGCGCACACACACACACACACACACACACACACACACCAAACAATGGCACTGCATGCTTTGCATTGGCACGGCCTCAAGTCTCCGCTCTCTGTGTTGTCAGTCTAAACGTGTCATCATCATGTTACAAGACTGCACATTCTTCATACCTGCTTTGCAGGTCCAACTCAACTGGATCAACTACAAGATTTTCCATTGCAATCCCAATTTATTTACAAAGCACATTTAAAAACAGCAGGGTTGACTGGAATGCTGTTCAATTCATTTCAAACTGGGAATGCACTAATACCACTTTTTAAGAGAGTAACTTTCAGTGCTTGTCGATACCAAGTACCGATACTTGCTAATGTCATTACATTTTACAATGTAGTGATGAAAACGCAATCCATTACTATGTAGGCTGTAGCACAAGCACTGTCATCAGTTACGTGGCGTCACAGATTGAACAAGTCATGTCTGGTGGATATGCACAAAGAAGAATTATAAGACGGTTTCTGGAGGATACGTCAAATGATCAAACAATACAAAGACACGGACGGGCAGCTGGAATGCTACTTTATTACATCCCCAAGCCACTTTGGTTCTTGCAAACCCCACCTTCCCTGCTGCTTCCACTTTCTCCGCGGGCCGACGAGTGGTAAGGCGACTCGTGGCTGGACTGCTTTGTTGCGTTTCGCCCCCGCTTCAAAGCTCACCTTGCAGGATCAACGCCTCCACATTCCTGAGGCAGGGCCAGCGGGACATGCATCGGCTGGATAGTGAGACGGCTTTTACAACATTGCTGCGCTCTTAGTAAGCCGCGCAGGCTAGGCCCTACTTGCCTCTCATAAGAGCCCGGATACAAAGACGAATCCAACGCAATCCAGCCTTGTATGTAGTGGGCCAGTGTTGAGTGCAGGGGGGGGGCGACTCAAATAACTTGGGCGTAGTGGAGTTACGCCACACAGCGCTTTCACTTTGATCACCTTGATTCTGGCGTGACTCACCGGTTCCACCGCCTCTGTTTGCCGTTGTATTATGACAGTAACCAGTGTCAGTCTACAATGTGATGTCATAATCTATGCGGCCTTGAAAGGGAGGAGAAGCAACGCCTTTTGAGTAGGAAAAAAAAAATAAAAGAATATCCATGAACGTCACATAACCGAAACCGGAAAGCAGGTGAGCTGGGGAGTTTGCTATGCAAGGCCAAGGGCACTTCGAAATCAATTTCAGTCGACAACAGAGGTCTATAGAATGTCAAAATGATGCGACAAGCAGCCACCATCTTTATGGAATGTTCTAAAAAACACAGAATGAGCACTTCAAATGCCTCTGAAACCCTCAACAACTAAAAAATTCGTGAAAAAAAATGGACTGGATAAGTGCATGACCTATTCTATTGCTCACTGCTCTTCTCACCAAATTTTCCATTTGCGCTAGTTTAGTAAAGTTTTTAGGGGAATTGTCGGCATTTGAAACATCTCAGTAATTTCAGTCTGCATTCAATTGATTGCTGTCACAAACTAAGCCTTTAAGAATCGGTTTTTCTGCCAACTCTGCTTTTGCTGTAGTTTAGTGTCAACCAATGATTGTGGTCGACATAACCGAGTTGGTTGATTTTTTTTCCCGAAATTGTTTTCAATGAAACTTGCATTCATTTACTTCGTTCTAATTCCACAAAGTCACTATCAATCAGAATACCCTGTTGAGACCAGTGGGGGCACATAGAGAAAATGTTTCTCCCGAGTTCCCCTTTAAGGTTTAAACCATGAATATTTCGGCAATTCTGAACATTTTAGAGGGCATGAAGTGCTTGCAGGTTGTTTTTTTTTTTTTTGCACTTTGTTTTTGTCCCCTTTGAATGTCAGGGTTTGCTCTAAAACATACCAACAACAAGTAAACCCATAAAATGACTTGTATGCATCTTCATAAAAGGACTTTCGAAAGTATTGCTTTGTTGACTGTAAAACGCTTGTGGCTGGATCGCCTCAAGTCGGGGACGGCGGAGCCTCTTTTCACCGCCACTCTAATCCACACGCGTGTACTGTGGAAGTGCCTTACACAAGCTTGGACTGGCTTTCCAGCACACTCTTGTGGAATGTTCTTGTTAGAGAGGTGTTGTTCCCAAAACATGCAACGGCTCAGTCGCTCATCAAGCGATTATTTTTAACTGGGAGGTGGGGGACAGTGGCATTGCGGGGCTTCCATTTTGACCAGAGTGACTTTCACTGGCTGCTATTGAATTCAAGTATTTAATATTTAAGTAGAGCGGGGGTTATCATTACATTGATTTACTTGATTTAAGTAGTCTTTTGAGTAACCTTACACACGCTGTGTGTCCATTTGGGTTTTGAGAAGAAATCTTAACACATGCCCATTTGCCACCAAACAACTCCCTCAACCTGATCGATTTGAACCCATCTAAAAGTCCAAACATTTTCAGGTATGAAGGGAGATCCAGCACAAATATTTTGTTTTACAAATACTTCAGTATATTTCATTTGTACCTGCGGCTAAAAAGTGAAGCGTGGAGAGTCTTTGTTGCCGCAATGTACAATTACAGTTAATGAATAGGACGACAATTGCCAATAGCATCTCAAATATCCACACGCTCTCCTTTATTTCTTGTCCATTTGTTCCTTTTGTGTGATGCGTCACAGACATATCAGTGCTTTTCATTGGTCCAAAGCTAAAATTGGGAGAAGCAATCAGTTTCTGTTTTATTATACAGTATATGTAGAGGAATGCCATTTGGGTTAAAAATGATGGATGACTGAATTATTTGCTAGTTTATTTTGCAGACCCCAAACTACACCTCACACCCCCCCGCCCCAGTTTCAGGACCACTGAAGTGGAGACTGTGCTCATTGACTACCATGTCCTGGAGAGAATGGAAAATACTTTTGGCCCATTTCATAGTTGGCATTTGGTGGTTGACTTTATTTGTAGGCAAGAATGAAGTAAGAGGCTTCACCATTTAATCCTTGCCGGGCAACAGTGTATCTGCTTTTGACATCATGTGATTCCCCCAACCCCACCCCCCCATCGCCCAAGTTTCCAACAGGCCAGCCGCGGTTCATTAATGCGAGATTAGTCTTATTTTGTATTTAGCCGAAGTTGAGAGTGCATCCTTCATCTTACCTGACGTAGAGGGAGCGTTTCTCGCTGGTGCGCAGGGAGCCGGATCCTGAGCTCATGCTGCTGTTCATCATCTGCTCCCTCAGGTCGTGGATTTTGGACTCAAAGCGGCTGTACTCTGTGGTGGGGTTGGGGGGGGGGCAAAAAAGTTTAAAAAAAGTTGACAAATGTAGCCAAAATTCACCTGCAAGAAGCTACTCCAACATGAGGTTGTTTTGTTCTTTTTTCATTTTGACAGGATATTAACAACGTGTTGCACGTAATACAACCAAAGTACAAAGATTGTACACCAAGACTAAACTGTCCATAGCTGTGAATGTGAAGGATTAACTGAATGACTGGCGACCAGTCTAGGGTGTAAACCTCTTCTCACCCAAAGTCAGATGGGATAGGCTCCGGTTATCCACAGCCGCTAATGACGACAATGGCTATAGAAAATGGATGGATAGCATTCAGAAAAAAAGTGGTTGTGATAATCAGGTGTAATATAAAGGGGCTATAAATTCTGTGTTTTGTGGGTGGTTTCAATGGGAAAAGCGTCTCAGGATGGAGTCGAAAATGAATAAAAGAAAATTGAATGAAACCTCGCATTGATTAATGAGCCCCGGAACAGATGGTTTATCACAGATCTGGCTAAAGCATATGCCGATGTCCCATAACAGGTAATTAATTACACATATTCTACAAATTAATGAAGTTCAACATGGGCTCTTTAGCATGGTTCAATAGGGGGGGCAGGAAGGCCACCAACAACACTGCAAGCGTGCTCATTCGTCATAAGAGCACAAATCCAGTCGTGCCTGGTGATGAATGACTTCACCCGAGCCGGCTCATTAATAAGGCTCTCACTGGAAACGGAACACCGGCTGATCGGGTTTGTGCGTTCATTCCGTATCCTACTAGTGAGCTGAATACTCCAAGTACTGGCACGCTCTTGGCACTCGCAAGTGCACGAGTATGACAACTACCATACGTCTGATGTATTTTTCCACTACTGCATGAAACTTCTGCACTTGCAGTATAACTTTGCCATGCTAGTTGTGTGACAAGACATGTTGCTCGTGAGGAAACTATACACTAGCTGACAAGTGCGTGCTACTTGTGAGATTATACAATTCTACTAGTTATCATCTAGTACTTCACGAGTAAAAGTGTTTTTAATAGAAATACTGTATTTATTGCAATTATGATCTTAGCGTAGGTTAGTGGTAGACGAAAGCACTGTCGGACAAACATTTGGGTTATGTTGTTTGTCCAGCAGGTGACACAAATGTATAGCCCATTCAAATCATGCAGCAAAATTTCACACCCTTTTCCAGTGCTCTACATGATTACCTCGCTACTGAAATGATAACTGTCATTATCGTGTTGGATTCTGTGGTTGTTATTTCAGTATTTCAGACAAATTGTTACCATAACAACAACAATATGCAAAAACAAATAGATAAATGTAAATAAATTAAAATGCCATAATCCACAAACATTGAGACAAGTAGATTCTTGTTTGTTGAATTTATCGTTATGAAATTTTGAGATTGAGAACGCTGAGTAATGAACTAGTTTGCCCAGCAGCGAGAGAATTTTGGTTGTATTTGGGTTTTTTTTTTTCAATGACCGTTTTTCGCAAAAACATTTCTCACACCAATACCAATGGTAATTCTGACTTCAAACTATATTCGTGTAGGTTAGTGAAAGACTACGTCATGCTCCAACCTCGGGTTACATCGCCGCCGTATATAAAACACGCCTGGCAGGAGCCGAACTTCCAGTGTAATCATAAACAGCCGCCAACACTTCCTGTACCGCTCAAAGTCCAGACTGCAGCCAGGCAGCAGACAGGTAGCCTCGAAAAAGCAAACATCCAAGCTTGTGAGTATGACCTCACAGGAGTTACTCACACTCTTTTGAGCAGGTGCAAAAACAAAATGGAGGTCATCCTCCCCCTAAGGGGGATAAAAGACAAACCTCCCCTGAGGGGCTGCTGCTATCGTCACCCTGGTCTGAGCAACAGGAGGCACCAAGGTGAAGTAACCAGACACCTGTTGACTGCCACAGCCCAGGAAACGCATCCAAATGTGAACTGGGGAAAAAAAAGGGCGACTCAGGCTGTTCCACTTGCAGTGGTGGGAAGCAGCGAAACACAAATACTTTATCCTGGTACTAAAAGACTCTGGAAAGTGAATGAGACATTATTGCAAAGATTGAGAAGTATGCAATCATCAATTGTGAATCATTAAACTGTTTTCCAACATTAAAAATTGACTGAATTTTGTGTGTGTGGCGGGGGGGGCCTAAAGGAACGCTTGATGATGTATTTCAACACCCAGCATGAGTTGCTTCTCCCCCGCTATAAAAGAACATGTGCGCTTTTGTTTGCGATCATCTGCGATTATCCGGTGCAATTGTGACATGCAGTGAAGTCTGAAGTGAAAGCCAAAATATGGACCGGGGCTTCAGGCTGGCGTGGCCACTTGAAAGCGCCACGTTGTCAAGGCGTGGAAAAGCCCTGCAACGACCTAGTGAGTAACAGTAGATTCCAGCCACCATATAGCGGACATATTTTTGTGGGTCAAACATGAAGTTATGTGTAGGCAGAAGCATGATACAAGATGAAGTAGCGTCCATTTTCCAGGTTGTGGCTGTGGCAATTTGATTGACAGTTGAGAGCGGTCTGGTTTCAGCATAGCGTGCGGTTTTTTTGTTGAGTTTTAATAATTTTGAAAACTTAGTTTATCGACTCGGCAATTATTTACTCTTTTAATTAACATTGGCAGGTGTGTCACATTTACAAGACAAAATAAAGCTTCACTTAACCGGGACTAGAAGAGAATTCTTTGACGTCAGCTACAAGAATGATTTGTGGAGAATGCATTGTGTCGTGTGTGATCTGAAAAATCCCCAATTTCCAGTTTTCAAAATTTTACTTCTAGTCTTGGAGAAAAAAAATAAAAATAAACATACAAGTTGTATGTATTTTTCCCCTTTTCTCAGTACATGCTGGATCCAAGTTTTGAGTGAAGATTTGTTTTTTACTGTGCCAAGTTATGGGTATTGTATATACACCCCCCACCCACACACACTATATATTACACTGCCCCCTCCCTTTTTCAAACTACTTTTTCTTAAATACAAGAGTTGAACCCGCACATGTATTTTTATTTTTTTTAACAATCCGTAAGCACAGTGTTGTAGTACTTTTTCCACCTTTGTGAAGCATGGAGAGGAAGAAACGAGAGAAAGAGCATCTAAATGGCAACGTGCAACCTGAAGGCTGGCTAAACGCCGCCTCGCATTCCCCGCCTTCCAAAGCCATTCATCTGTGGATATTCAAGCGGAGCAGGAAGAACAGTGAGCCGCAATCAGCGCGCACACTCCCCAGGGGAGTTTGGGAAGGGAATGCTCGGCTCCCGACTATCAATGGCTGCCAAGCCTCGGCTACTAATGACAACATCACAATACAGGCTTGTCTCTGTACAACACATCACAAGATCTGCGCAGCTCAGTCAAATAGAAAAGGATCCCTTTTGAAGAACGGCAGGGTGGGGGGTTGTGGGTACAAGTGTCAACATTCTGCATTTGAACACCCGCTGAGATGGCAACGCTACGGCACACCTGTTAAACGCACTTTACAGGTAGTCTTTTGGTGGTCCACAACAAACAGGAAGAGTCCTGGAAACAAATGTTCCTCTATCCTGCCGGGCTTGTGTGTAAAAATAACAACAACCTGAAACTCAAAGAGCAGTCCAAACTCGAATGGACCGCACTCCAAAGTGCTTGTTTCTCAGAAAATACAGAGTCACTTCTTGACTTTTCTCCGTTTTGTGAAGTGTATTCAGAGCGGAAGCAAGTCGACAGCATTTATTTCATCCAATGTAGACACGCTACATCTCATAGCTGGTTGCAAATGTTCATTTGAAGACGGCGTTGTGGTAATCTCAGGGTTCGATATTAATCCTTTTTGAGTGGTGATTCACCTTGGGCCAAGTTACGGTTCCCCTCTCAGAATCGGTATGGTATTCATGATATAGTAATGATAAATTTCAATGATTATTCGCTATTTTGTCTTTATACTGGATTGTTTAAGCATTGAGGGAAATATTATTTTGATGTAGTTAGTTGTTTTGCATGTAAAAATAAAGAACGCACGAACTTCATTGTAATTATGGATGACATTTGTTCTATAAGGTTTAGGGTGGTTCGACACAGTGACACACAGTCCCTGAAATATTCCCCCCAAAACTGACTTCAAAGTCATAGGCCTCCCTTTGCCCCCTCACGGATGACTCAAAAAAAAAAAAAAAAAAAAAAAAAGGTTGAGACACCAAACAAAGCAAAACAAAACAGGTCACATTGCTGACAGAAAGTTTTTTCTTTTAATGACTGGATCCCTTGAAACTGGTAACTGGCCCCACGCCTACTGGAGTTCAAGTCGCAACGACTGGAGTCCCCTAACTCCCCAATTTGATGCGAGTCAATGAGTGCAAATATTTGCCCATCAGATTACAAAAAGGAAAGACGTCATCAGTCAACATCAGGTCCGTTGACAGGTTGCGTTCAGCAATACTGAAGACATTGTAGATACCTGACTACAAACAACACTGCAAACTAATGAAAAAAAATTTTATATATATATATATATATATATATATATATATATATAAATAATACACACACATACATATATAGTTCAGTGAATAGCTCTCTGAGAGTGACATTTTATTTTTGTAATGGCATTTTTTTTTTGTTCCACTGCCCTCGTCCAGTGACAACCGTGCAGACTAATCTAATTATGGCAACTCAACGACAGCTCCTGATTTCAGTCACAAGGCCACGGCCCTGAAAGGCACACGTCCAACACACAAACACTAATGACCAATGACCTTTTCAAATTACGAGCTGTCATTTCTTCGACTTCATGCTTTGTGTTGAAAGACATTTTTCTTAACAAGAGAGCTTCAGGTACAACACAACTCTAGAGAAGCGAGAGAAAAAAATCAGCAGTCATGGTGCTGTAATGACATCGCACGTGGGCAAGGAGAGCTACCTAATTGATTTTTTTTTTTTAAGTCTACTTACAAATTTCTACTGACAAAAACAGCATGTTTATAGTAATAGAAT